ATAGCAGCAGCAGCTTTTCCAGGTTCTGCAGTCATCTGAACAAAATTATAGACATTCAACACATTCCATTAAAAAAAAAAACCAAAAAAAGAATAATATCCAGACAACAGCCAAGTTCTGTTGCTGCTGTGGTACCTGGCACCAATTTTTCTATTAGCCTCTTAATCATCATCTGGAAAGAGAACATTCTAGAGTAATATCATTAAATGTAGCTCTGATAAAGCACGGTCCCTACTATGTATTATAAAGCAGGTACTAGATATTTTACATTCATAGAGGTATCTTAAATGTATTCTTTTTTGTCACCATATACTATATTTATTAATAATGTATCTATCTTGACCCTTACTTCAAAAGCACCTAGCAACCTTCTGTTCCATCAGTTTCTACAGCTTAAGCTTCAATTACCTAAAGCTTTAGACTATTTTGGATAATTTTGGCTCTTGTGGTAACATTTGTATGTGTGCTTATATTAAAATTAATAGCAATAATATTTTATCATTATTAAAAATATATGCATACCCTTGTTAAAAATTAAGAGGTCTGATGGTGTGAGGGAAGTCTTTCTTCACTGTGGTGTTTTGCTTGCAGGATGAAGATGAGCTGGATTCTCACACCATGGTGAAGACTAGTTCAGAAAGTGTAAGCACAATGCGGGCCACAAGCACAATGAGTGAAGGGGCCCAGACTATGATTGAACATAACAGCACAATGCTAGAATCTGACTTGGGGACCATGGTTATAAACAGTGAGGATGAGGAGGAAGAAGATGGAACTATGAAACGTATGTGTCTTTTTCCCACTATTAGTTTTCTATTTTGGAAGTGTGCTTACGTAAAAATCAGTATAGTTTGTGTTGTGTTTTAGAGCCAATTATGGAACATTTTGTTTCTTGGCTTTGACAGAAAAAAAAAGTATGGCAGAAGTCAGCGTTATATAATCTTATTTCTTATGTCACAAAGCAATACATCTTTAACTTAGGGTTATGGAACTTTTTTCTGTTGAAGCTACTAACCCATAATTTAATTGTAAAGTATTTTAGAGAGAAGATAATGTTCCTAACATTTTCTTTTCCAATTAAAAAAGTAAACAAAGTTCTGTTCCAATAAATGCAATGTTATATTATTTCATGTTGTCTAAATTATCAGACCGCAGAGACAGAGAACTATAAGCTACGTGAAGAAATGAAAGCTAAGATGGCAGCGGGGGGACCACTAGGAAAAAAGGGTTAAGAGATGGGGATGTTCATAGAGAAGATTTGGTTCCATGCAGGTTTATTGCTCGTTATCATGAGTGAGGCACAGGCCAGGAGCACTGCAAGGACTGAAATGATGATTGAGACATTGTCTCTGTTGCTTACAGAATGGTGAAGATAGGGCCCCTTTCAAGGACTAGCATTTCTTTTCTAATGTTTTTTTAAGATATTGCATTTGACAGTGCAGAACATGTGATTTCACAATGATAGGCAGACAGATGAGTTTTCTCTTCATACTGACCCCCCCCCACTACTGTAGTTCTGTATAGTTAATGTCAAAGTCTTAAGCAATAGACTGTTTTGTTTTGTTTTTGCACAACATTGTAAATGATAGGAAAGGAGAATTACATGACTTCTGCTATCATAGAGGCTAGAAAATTATAAGCATTCAAATTATTTGCTGCTACTGAAAAATGGATGTTGGAATTTCCTCCCAGATGTGATATTCCTGATGTTTCTCTTTTCATTTTGCCCATCTTTGTTTTTCCTACTGTCTGTGCTGCTGCTACCTTGTGAGAATCTACCTCATAGCTCCATGTTACTTGGCTCACTTTTGCTACTTTGTTCACATTTCCTAGTATTTAGCCTATTATGCTTATATACTTTGAAATGAGAGGGTCATGAAGCATGAAATTCGGACAGATTATGGGGTTAATCCTGGAGGAAGGATGGAATGTGTGAATTTTCTGTCTCCACCAGTGGTGGGTCTCCTGAACTTTTTAAGTCTAGAGCTTGTATTTTCTAAAATTTCTAGCTGCACCTCTGAATAGAAAAGGCATATATAACATGCCTTATGCAACTGTGTAGCATGTTCTTAGGGTCGCCAAAACCATCTGGTGTTAGGATACAAGTCATATGATCTTAGATCAAAAAGACCCTATTCTAAAAGATAATTAACATATTCCCCAGTTGCATGTAGCATTACTTTTCTGCAGTTTGATAGTTTTCTAAACTCAAATTTTAAGATTCTTAACAGATCAGTCAGAAAGATCTTGAGTGTTTTATTGTATTTCTATTGAACTACTGAGCTCCCTACAAAACTATATAAACAACTGCTATGCAGTCATTTGATTGAACCATCAGCAAGTACCCAGTGATTAAAAATGAATCCTATGGAACCTAATTCATGTTAGATTATTATATTTCAAGGCAGAGACTGATGATTTATCAGAAACTTTAAAATTACCCTATAGATTTCCACATAATTTATGTAGTGACTTCTAGCTATGAGAACTACAGAAATCAATATACATTATAATTTTATCATAAATAATTAAATAGGTATAAATTTTTGACCTTATTGAAAGCCCACTTTTAAGTTGAGCAGGTAGTTGTTTATATGGTTGCAGTTATCTGATGTGCACCAGTAAGTTTTAAATCCCATGGAGCAACTTTCCATGTATTTTAAGTTTGTATAGGTTAGACATCATTCGATGATGTGGGATTTTGATATTCTCCAAAATCTAATCAAGTGATAATAGTTAACCTCCAGAGATTGTCATGTTGGTAGAGCAATAGTAACAAATTTGAAGAAGTTCTTTAAGGAGGACTTACTGTCCCTGAAGTCATATGATTATTTTAGTTTTGTTTTTATGGAAAACTTAAATTAGTTAGTACGAGGTCTCAGTTTATGGCAGATCAGTCAGAGCTCATTTGTTAATGTGTTCCCTAAAAAGATTGTAGTAATATATTATTTTTGGTTTTCTGAAGTCTCTCAAATGTTACTCTGTACAATGAAGCTTCTTGTTTCTATCTTCTTTTTCATTGGAGTTTGAAGAGAGTTGCTTATCTATATTCTTGTTAGTTGAAATTATATTTATACCTTCTCTTTACAGTTTTAACCATGAAGCTAGAAATAATAGACTTGTTTTCCTTACAGAACTGTGGTTGGATTGGTAGTTCTAGTTCCTCTGAAGAGAAACTATACTTTGTTGGTATGTGAGGAAGAGCCATAATCTCCAAGCACGTCATGCACACGTGCATATGTATTTGTGTGTGTGTGTGTGTGTGTGTATGTGTGTTGTTTCCCCAAATAAATCATGCAGTTTGTCGTGGTCAGAATACTATGTAAATCTCTTATACCACATAATAGTAGATGTTCCTGCAATGTTGGTTTCATGAATGAATACTTATTACATTTTAGTTAGAGTCAACTGTTTTTCAAAGTGTTGACATTGTAGTTGGATTAAGGGTTTATGACTCTAAGAGCTAAGAGAACTTTCATGTAAACACTTTGCCTTAGTAAGCTACTATCTAATAATATACCACTTTCTTTTCAAGTGTTCTACTATTAGTACCTTTCATTTCACAGATCAGATTTTCTAAAAGTTCATTCTTTAGGATACTCATTTAGTGAGATTCTCTGATAAATATAGATAGATACCATACAATAATCCAAAGTGTTTGGAAAATGCATATTTATCTGAAGGTAAATCATTAGAGACCTACAGTAATATATTAGCCTTTTAAATGCCCTACAAGTAGCACAGGAAGGAAATCTGCTTAAAAGTTATATTACCCAGGCTTTCCTTAACTTGTTTGGCCATGAAAGCTTTCAATGAGGAGCACATTAGAGGCTAACATCCTGTGTAATTGATGTCTAAGAAAGTGTTTGGAAAATACTGTCATTGGAGCTCTGTAGACCTTTGATGTTTTCTTTTTTATTAGCACACCCACTTTCTACTTCTCTATTTATGTTGAGACTATGTTTCATCACTTTCACTTACTGTCTTACTCATATCCTTACTTCTTCCCAAGTGTCTTTCTTTTTTGCTACTCCTGAAAAACTATGATTGGCTTAATTTTTCTATCTTCATTGCATCTTCACACTGCCTACTGAGTGGAACTGGAGAAAAGTCTAAAATCTGTGTAGATAAGGGCCACCAGTTGAAGACCTTCAGCCTATTTGAGCCCTCAGAACTTCGCTGTCGACCTGTATTTCTCTGCTCAGCTCTTTCTCATTCTACAGAGTGACTACTTTAGACCTTTACTAACTGTCCTCCTGCCAGCTTCCCTCTCAGTGTTAGTGGATGACCTTTCTTCCTACTTCATAGAAAAAAAAAATCATCATGAGAAACTGTCAAAGTTATATGCATATTTTAAACATGAAGCTCGGAATAAGAAAATCTGAGTCATTTTTAATCTCTTTACTTCCTTATTGAGTTAATATGAAGTCTCATCAGCTCTTCCTGCTAAATATCTTTGTCCTATTCTTACCATCTACTATATTTCCTAGTGCAGGTCTTCTTCATATTCTCTAACTTGTAAGACTTCCTAAAGGATCCCTTGCCTTCTGTGTTGGTCCCCAACGTAGTCGAGCTTTTGGAAGGTGACTGGATGATAGGGCTTATGGCTGGCTTGCTCTTAGGAGGTGGGGCCAGGTCAGAAGAGGTGAGTTACGTGGGGTGTGGCCAGCAGGATTTTTCTCCCCTCATAATTCCTCCCTTTACTCTGCTTCCTGTCTGCCATGCTCTGAGCAACTTTCCTCTGCCTTGGATCCTGCTGTCTAAGGACCAAAACCTCTACAAACCATGAGCCAAAATAAACCTTTAAGTTATGGATATCAAGTATTGTTTCTCAGTGATGAGGAAGGCACCCATGGCAACACATCTCTCTTCTGCTCTGGCATTATAGTTGCTTCCAGTTATTCTTAGACCAGAGCCCAACATGGTTAAAAGCTAATATATACTCTGGTTCCTGCTTAGCTTCCTGCTCTCATGTCTCATTATTTCCTCAGCTCTTCACTTCTTGTAGAGCTCTTTCTTACCTTTGAACATTTTCACTGTCCCAGTCCTTCTGTTTGAAGTCCTACTTCCCTAATTCACATTTATCCACTCAGGATAAAATGTCCTTTCTTTGCTGACCTCAGGTTAGGGATGGGTCCTACTCATGTGCTCCCAATGTCCCTCATGCTTTTGTGGCGTTTTATACACTGTATCATAAATGCCTCTGTATGTAGTTATCTGATTATTCCTGCCTTAGTCTCAATACATAATGGAATATTTAACATATTCACTAATTTAATTAATACTTTTGAACAGATGATATTGTTTAGTGAAAAGGGCACTTATTAATTATGGGCTGTTTAATCTTTCCTGAGTTGCAGTGATGTACATTTGTCTATATCCATAAAGCATCTGGAAGGATGCTTTTAATATGATGGGTAATGAACAGAGTCATTTTGATCTACACACCCTACCAATGTCCTGTCAACAAGTTGGGAAGGTAGAATACTTGGAGAACCCTGGGCTTTGTTCAGACCTGCTTCCCATGCCAGGGGAGAGGCTTTATTTTTGCTCACTGCTGAGCCAGTGTGTGAGTGACCTCCACAACACTGCAAAAGTGAGACTGTATGGAATTGTAGCTACTGCTGCAATCAGGAGTGGCAGTCCAGAAGCTGACACTGGCACTAGTGAGTAAAGTAATACAGATTGAGATCACCACCCCTGTTACTCAGGGATTAGCTACCAATGCTACCACAACCTGTAAAACTGGTGATTGGATGTTGAAATACTGTTATAAATAACTTC